AACTGTAGTTGGGGCGGGGCGGGAAGTGGTATATAAAGATTGTATGGATGAAACATGGTGAAACTCATAGTATGACTGTACCAGAAACCCTGGAACCAACTGTAATTCATCTGAGTTGGAAGCTTGTGAGTGGGTGTTGAATAAATGATATTGATTGGGACTGAAGGTGGGTCTCCCCCAAAATCTTTGTGTTGGGATTCTCGAGAAGAGAACTTGTTGGGAACCGCTGTAGACAGATAGATCCGCCATGTGACCATGTGACGATGTGATGGGTCTGAGTCTCGTTTTTGAAGTTTCGACGGACAGGGGGCCGTGCCATCGACTTTGCCAGAACAAACAACAAGGAAACAGTGGAAGAGGAAAAGAGATTGGAAACAATGTGCAAATTCGCTAGGTTTTTGAAGATTTGATTAAAAATAGCCAGGAAGAACCGGCATAAACCAACATCAGCGGCTTAGGGGTTCGTGTTAGCCACGTAGAGCGGGACGGTGGGACTATAGCAAGCAGCAGCAGCCCCAGTAATAGATTATTTGAAGGGTGGTTGACTACTCAACTACCCATTATGACACTGTCCGTGGTAATCCGAGCTGAGTCAACTTTGGTCAACTTTAGGGGGGTGGGTCCCACCTAGATGGTCTCGTGTCGGATCTATGTTGGAAATTTGTATTACATTATTGAAATTATTTGGCAGACTCTGACAGTCCAGAAATAATTTGATGCGGATATCTCCAACCACCTCAAAATAATATAATATTATTTTGAGGTGGGTGGTACGGTGGGTGGGCCCAGTGGAGGGCCTATCCAGGTGTGATCCTGCTTTGACCAACAAAGTTTGAGGTGCTTCAGTCCTTCCAATTCTCCTGCGAATGAAAAACCATGAAAAACCTCTCACCAGAGGAACTCAGAAGGAGAAAGAAGAGTGTTTGTTTTCTCTGCCGACGGACAGGGGTCGCCAACCCATGGGCCCTCTTTGCACCCTGTGGATTGGAATAGAACGTAAACACACACAGATATGTAGGTGGATAGATGGATAGATGGATATATGGATAGGGTGTGGGGTGCGCATGCATACTAAAAGGTGGGAAACTGGAACCACCAAACAATCCGTCGGCGGATGTGGTATCATTGCGATAGCTGCAGGTAGAAACGACCATGCCCCGTTGACATTGGACATCATTTCTATCTCGCTCTCTCTCTGTATATATATATACATACGTTAATATAAGGCTTTTACATCAAGGAGAAGCGACCAAACGTTTTTTCATTTCTATTTTTCTTTGGGTGGGTGGGTGCTTAGGTGGGTGCTCAGGTAGTTGCCAAATTCTTTCACATGGATTACTGCAAAGCCTCCTCATCAGGCTTCATATCATCAAGGGTTTTGCTTGCATTTTTTGAGGGGGGATAGGTGACAAGGACGTACAGAAGCCAACACTTCTTGAGTTTTATCTCTCATACGTCAAAGAGCTTCCTGACCCTTCAAAGGCCCCAAAGACTCCGGAGTGTTTCTTTCTCCTCAACTGCCAGTAGAACCGACCTTCTCAGCTGGGCCATCCCTGGCCAGAGTGACTCTTCAGAGCCCCAGAGGAGATCTAGCTGCCATGGGTCATGCGAGTATCACCCCGTTCGATTCCAGTGAATTCCAGCCTGGAACCCCAAACATCCAGAAAGAAATGGATGTTTCCCCAAACAACCATTTCCTATATAAAGGATTTCAATTGCCATATTGGAACAACCATTTGTTTCTAGTTGTTTGGGGTTCCAGGAGTGAATCAATTCCTGTGAATTCCTCCGGGTCTCCCGAGACGCTCGGCAAAGAAACGCGCGGAAACCAAGTCATCGGTGGTCTGTTCAGGGTTCCGGAGCAAATCTATGCGCAAGGCTCGGTTTTTGACCGGAAGCTTTGGGCAGCTTTTGGGCAGTGTCTCTGGAGGATGTGTTGTTTCTCTCCTAGGTCCTAGGTGTGATTCAACGATCCACCTGATCAGGAGTATGATGGACGAGCACCCTGCTTCCAACAGAGACCCGCGGAGAATCGCAGAATCTGTTTGTCTGATTCGTTGCAACCGTTCATTTCGAGCTTTGGGTCGGCAGTGCTCGCAAGACCATACATGAAGGTAGTTACACTATTGACAAATCTATAAACACATGAAAAAAAGACACACCAAACATACATATACACACATACATATGTATATATATGTATACACATATACATATGACCGCGGACACGGACACGTTGTAACTGACAGTCTGAAATCGTCTAAAACTCAGCTGTGAGCGGCACCCCACTTCGGCGGCACCTCCCGTCCCTGACGAGTTCGTCCCGTGGAAGCGGGAACCGCGCATCCACCACGGCCCGGTTCGGTCGGTTTGGCTTTCTGGCCCAGCGAGGGGGAGGTGTAAAGGCGACATTCAAGAACCCGATGGGTCCATGTGTGGTATGTAGCTACAAGAACACCACGAAGGGTCCATGAAGGTATACATAGAAGGTACAAGGATGCGACAGTCATGAACGGGCAACGGCATAGGAAGGAGGTGAACAGCGTGCTCACTGGCCCTAGCACCACATGGGTGGAACTACTCCAGGGGAACCACCAAACTTCAAGTCCTTTTTTTCTCCGGAGGGTCCATCAGGAACCTTTTCCAGGTGATGCCCATGCGTTCACCAAATCATACTCACCGCTGACGTGACCACCCCCTTCTTCCTGATGTCTTTGCACCCCCCGTCGGCGACCATGTCGCACCCCGGCCTCACCCTCGGCGGCCTGTCCCTCCTGGCGGCGAAGTGGCTCGCCGAGCTCCGTGCCGCCTGGCCGTCCCACGCAGAGGCCGCTTGGAGGAGGTGCGAGTCGGTGCGAGTGGACCTGGCAGCTCCAGGAGTAGGGCATCCCTTCAGAATCAAAGACATCCAGAGGGCCGGGTGAAGGGCATCCCTTTGCTTGGCCATTGTGGGCTGTCAGCATGCATGGGGACGATGAGGCTTTTGGGAGAAGCTGCGCACTCTTTTGGGAACATGTATATAACATGAACAAGACCAACCAACAACGACGACGACGACGACGACAACAACAACCACATGCTTTTCACGAACTTTTTCCATGAAAGGTAGCCTGCTCAGAACCTTCCCACCCCTACCTTTCGTTCACCTCCGTCGCCCACCTTTCGTTTCATGGAGCCAGTTCATCCAGATGGGGTTCGATGACTTGTTCAATGACTTGGGCGAGTCCGGGTCGTAGAGCCTGGACCCTCTGAGGCCCTGAAGCTAGCGCTGCAGCGCTTCTTCCACCAGTGGCGTCAAGACGTGCAGAAGCTCACCGCGCGGCAGCAGCGTGGCAGGGACAGTGGCAGCGGCAGACCGCGGGCGGAACGTCGGTTGGAACGTTCAGCTTTGGGTGTTTGAAGAAGAAACCTGACTCTTGATCAAAAACACCCCGCAGATCAAGAGGTTTTCAATCCAAATGCAGCGGGTTTATGAATCACGTGTTTTTGGATTTGTTGAGCCTTTTTCACACGGTGCATATGCTGGCGAGCGTCACCATGGCTGAATCTATAGATTCAGGCTTTCAACAGTTGCCGGTCATGCCCTATCGGCCAAGTCTCACAGCTGGGCTGGAACGGTTTTGGCGCATCCGAGCTGCCTCCGGTGCCTTCCTGGAAGACCACAGTGGGCCACCACTGGCCGCTCATGGTGGGATTCGAGACCAATCTCCTTCACATTTCACACTGACTAATTTGCCTCCACACACTCTCTCTCTCTCCTTTTTTTCTCTTCGCCCCCTGATGGCCCGATGACCTCAACCTCACGAAGCATCAGATTCATACGACTTGAAGAGACACTTTCCGGGATAAGGATAAAGGTATATATATATATACCAGTTAGGCGCCACATCATCCTCCACTCGGACATGATCTGCAACCCAGCATGACTCTCAGAGGAGATGTGATAGATCGTGCAAATGAGACCCTGGAAATCTTAACTCTTCAAAAGGTTTTGTAAACCTATGTTCTTTCCCTTCCCTGTTCTTTCCCTTCTCTTCACTGCTGCTATTCAAAGTGCCTCTTTGTTTTCACTTCTTGGTGGCCTTCTTGGCCTGTTTGGTGTCTTTCTTGACCTTTTTGGCCTTTGCATCCAACTCCTTCGTCTTCAACGAAGTTGATGGGTCACTCTTCACACTCTTCGTCTTTGACGAAGTGGATGGGGCACTCTTAGGCACACTCTCAGACTTGTCTTCCTCCATCGGCATCGGCTGCATTTCTTGCGACGCTGCAGCAAAAGAAGCCACCACCAATTTCACGTCAGCTTCAGTTGGCCTGAGCTGAGCCATCATGAACAATCTAAATTCGATGGCAGCATGAAAACATCAACTGACATCTCTGTGAATCCAAGTGAACTCTAGAAGTTAGACTTGGGGTATCAAATGAGGGTCTGACACTTTATCCAGCTCTGTCAGCGGGGTAGTGGAACCATACACGTCCCACATCCATTGGACGCATTCCATCAAAGCTGCAGCTTCCGTCATGCGTTTCTTGACTCCATGCCAGTACGTGGCGTGGCTGAATTGTCGTTCTTAGTAATTGCAACTTGGAGAGAAAAAGGTAGCTCTTCCCTTTCTCACTAATCACATCTAATCACCCACACCATTAAGATAATTAATCCACTGAACTAAACAAAACGTTGTGTTGAGAGTATCAAGAGTCCGTGTCCTGCTGGCACGATGAAGGCCTGAAATCTCTTCAGTTGTGGGTGCCGGTATATCTTCGCATTGGTTGGACACAACGAGTCAAGATCTCTCCTGAGCTCCTCTGGTGTGGTGTAAGACTTGGGTTCGTACACCATCCCCCCCATTCGGGGTTGCCTGTTGGGCCGGGCTGCATGTAAGTCCAGCTCATTCAATGCCACACTGTGAAGCTGCTGGAATTCTGGAATGTCTTCGGTGTCGAGTCCATTCATGGCGGCCAGGATGTCCTTTGCATGGATAGTGGTTTTACCACAATGCTTGCAATTCTTTCCCAGGATTGCCATGAGCATTTCGCGCTTCTCACTTTCAGAAGCGTCTGGGAACAAGTAATTAACCAGACCTTCACCGAAATCACGCTTCACAAGGTTTCCGTTCTTCCCATGTCCACTTCCAGGCTTCACTGTCGTGAAGCGGTAGTACGCCTGAAGCTCATGAAGGTGATCAGCACGTATAAAGAGCCCTGCTTTGACTGCACCCTTCACAATCCCTTGAGCAGGCCCAGTCTGCCTGACATAGCAAGTGAGAGATCGCAACTTGACTGGCACCTGCCATGGGTGGCATACAGTGGTAGGAACATGCAGCCATCCATTCTCGTCCAGCCTGTCATTAAACATCCATCTTGGCGAAAGTGATTGCTGGACACTTTTGCCAAAAAAGAAGTATACCTGAGCCATCTGACTGAGTTAAGCTTTCCAGGGACAGATTTGGACGATCTATCATCACCAAATTTACTAAACTATATGTGACTGATGATTCGTCTTTAATTAAATAATCATTTTTAACTCATTGAGAGCAAAACCATTGTACTGTACACAACTAATGAATTCAATGATTGACGTCAGTCAACTGAACGTCAACGCAATTGATGAACCTCTTTACAAAGGCCCAGTCACCTCTCCACCAAACGCTTGCTTTTCCAAAGGCACCCCAAGTGCAGCGTACTCTCGGAAACCAAGGCATAGCAACACGCTCTCACTGCCGTCCCTGTTTGGCTTCTGGTAGATTTGCCCTTTGACTAGGAAGATTCCTGGTGGATTTGCCACTGGCGACGACGGTTTCATGAACATAGAAAGGCCCTGATTATTACACTTTGGGTGCGGATCAGGACCCTCATACTGGAGCAAAACAATTTCCTGCAATCAAACAGCAAACAAAAGTACTTAGCTAAATTTTTCACTGTCACACAACCACCTGTCCTCTCCATGCATTGACGATGCTGGCAAAGCTGCTTTGGCGATTGCAGAGTAGCCATGCAGTCGCTGCACAGGCACGTTGATGGGATTCCGGGCCTGCCTTCTTCACATCACCCAATTTCAACTTGAGCAAACCATCCCGGGTGCTCTTGGTAAGATCGGTGGCAGCTTTAAAGGCTTTCCCAGGCTCATATGTTCTCATGTATCTACAGTGGTCTTGGAGAGATACACTCAGTTGTGGCCAATGGGTCTCTTTGAGCTTTGGTTGCGTGGTTGTATAGAAATAGCGTGTCCACCTAAGCCCGGTTGAATAGTACTAACTGGTGATGCAAACGCAACTCCAAACGTTAAAGGCAACTACTATCAGATTATCATGGAACATAGTTTGATTTCTCAGGTCCACCTGAAATTGATCAAAACAATTGAACACTGATTGTTGAATCATCAGCTATGTGACTTGCTCATAGCTGTAGCCATGGACGACATGCGGCCCACACTGGCTAGATGTGCAAACGCATCCTCCAGATCAAACTTTGTGTTTGGGCAGTGCCCAAACAAAGCTCGTAGGAACTCTTGCAGCTCACTGTCTGACACTTGCCAATGGCAACCCTCACAGCGTGCCCACAGTTCTCGTGTAACCTGCAAGCGGTTCCAGGCCAAGTCATTGACGAGGAGTTTGTGTACAGCCTCTTTGACTTTCTTGGAGCAGGACGGGTCCAAGTCACCAAACACTAAAGATTCAGCCTTCTGAACAGCCTCCAACGTACGGTGGATTAAATCCAAGTGCTGCTGAGCCAGTCCCCTGTCATCATGAAGCAATGCAGCAAAGGAGTTGGGTAGGCATGTAGTGTAGAGGCTTTGGCTCCAGCACCTGGCACTGGCCAATTCGTAAAGCAAGCACCAATACTCTTGTAGCTTTCCAAGCTCCTGGATCTGCCAGCTCTCCGTGAAATCTTCAATCTCATCAGGAGGGCATTGAACTGTGATGAGATACTTCAAGGCACTGTCCGAATGGATGGATGACAGGCATTCACGAACAGTGCTCCACCACATTCCACCCACAGCCCTGTCTGCCTGGAACTGGATCGAACAGGCCTCAGGGTTCTTTTTTGGTGTTGCAACTAACAACTAACAACACACACTTATTCGTGACTCTCATGATTCAGCAGTCATTCATGGTGAACTTCTCATTTGCTTAGGACCTCATACTGGTAGTGTCAGGTTGACAATATGGTTTATAGAACAAGTTTAAAATTTAAAATTTACTTTCTACTGGTTACCAGGCCTGTCCGAGACTCATTTGTTTCAACGACTTGGAGTATTCTTCCATCAAGGGCTTAGCTGCTTCACTCACCATCCGAAGATCTGTTTGTAAAGATAGGTCATGAAACAGGTGAGCGACCAACTTCATTGTGTTTTCAAAGCGTTGACGCATCTGATTCAGTTCAGCCCTTGTTTTGGGTCGCAGAACAGCAGGATTATCCTCACCAGCTCCAGCATTGTCATCACCGTCCTGTTCCATGTCAACATTATCCTCGTCCTCGTTGTTGTAACCGTCGTTGTCATCATCCTCCACTTCAAGGTCGAAAGGCATGTCAACCTGGGGGCAGGCAGCCAGGATAAAAGTCTGGTCTGACAGTCAGTCTGACTGACTATGGTCTTTTGTAAATAAGGGTTGAGACTACTTAGACTCAGCAATCAGGAAAGGAAAGTTTGTAAATAAGGGCTGAGACTACTTAGACTCAGGAATCAGGAAAGGAAGTCTGTCAGAAATTTGCATTCGTAATGCAACGGGAGGAGCATGGTCACCATCCAAGACAAAGTCCAGTACAGTGCTCAGGATTGTCCACCGATCACAAAGATGACTCATAGATGCAATAGAAGCGAACCAAGATTTTGTTTTGACCTTGTATAGCACTGAAGTCAGGTTTTATATTATATTAAATACGCACAATTAATTAAAAAAACATTGATCAACAACATATGGTTTCAAAGCTTTGTGCGTCATTGTCCAGGGTACATATGGTGGCAATGTTTGAAACACTGGCAGAAGAGGGATGTCTTGAACCCCTTGAGGGATTTCAGCATGGTCCTCCGACTCGCACCTCAGGTCGAAGCACATTCCTTCCACGAGGATATCAAACTGGTCCTGTGTCATTGAATCAGAGAGCACCTCAGCTGCCTGAAGAAGAGTCTGGGAGTTCCTTGCGCTTCCAAATGGCCCATGGGCCATGTTGGCCATTGTGAGGCTCAGCAAAATCGTATACTGTTTTGATGCCCTCCTGATGCTGTTTTTGCAGTCGTTCCAGATTTGATGGCAACTATCTGGTTGCACGTAGACTCGGGCACCAAGTTCTTGAAGACCATACAACATCTTGAAAGGAAGGGCTTC